TCAACCGCCTCTTTGCCTCCAGCATTTATAATAGTGTTAAATATTTTTAAATGTGGTTTTCATTTATAAGAAGGGCCAGATTTACATCTTACGCGCCCCTAGATACAGCATCTTCAGCACCGCCCTGCCTACAGCTGACCTTCATGTTTTCTGTAAAAAATGAAACTTTTAACCCACTTTTAACTATTAGGTGCTCCTAGAATGCTGGTGCCCGATGGCACGTGCTTACTTTGCCTAATTGGAAATCCAGCTCTGTTTACAGGGGGGTCACACTCAGAGGCTAGCTGTGTGAAAGGGGTCATCAATACAAAAGTTTGAGAACCACTGCTCTTGTCTATGTGCCAAACTCCCCAGCTGGACTGATCTCCTATTAGAGCACTATGGTCATATGACTGCCATGATGCCTTACCTGCCTCTTCTAAGAGGGGAGACCATGGTGCATCATGGGAGATGTAGTCAGAACAGGGAGCTTGGCCTATAGAGGAAAATGAGAACATGAGGCCCTGGAACTACAACTCCCATGAGGTACTGCTGTAACATTTCCAAATCATTTCCAAACATTTTTGTGCCAAAAACTCAAAATTTTCCACAGAATCACCCCACCCTCCCCGCATTTTCCAACCAGCTATAGTAGCAAGCTGTTATTTAAGCTATTAGAGCAGAGGAGCATACTGTGATGTGCAATTGATATCTATGATATTGGGATACATAAGAAAATAGGGACTAAGGGATAAGCAGGGGCATTAAAGTAAATGAAATGTTACATTCTTTTCATAAAAAGAAAAGGAGGACTTGTGGCACCTTAGAGACTAACAAATTTATTTGAGCATAAGCTTTCATGAGCTACAGCTCACTTCATGGGATGCATTCAGTGGAAAATACAGTGGGAGATTTATATACACACAGAACATGACAATGTATACCTTCAAATCAGCGGCACTGCTATGGGTACCCGCATGGTCCCACAGTATGCCAACATTTTTATGGGTGACTTAGAACAACGCTTCCTCAGCTCTCGTCCCCTAATGCCCCTACTCTACCTGCACTACATTGACGACATCTTTATCATCTGGACCCATGGAAAAGAAGCCCTTGAGGAATTCCACCACGATTTCAACAATTTCCATCCCACCATCAACCTCAGCCTGGACCAGTCCACACAAGAGATCCACTTCCTGGACACTTCGGTGCTAATAAGCGATGGTCACATAAACACCACCCTATACCAGAAACCTACTGACCGCTATTCCTACCTACATGCCTCCAGCTTTCATCCAGACCATACCACACGATCCCTGTTCTACAGCCAAGCTCTAGGATTCAACCGCATTTGCTCCAACCCCTCAGACAGAGACAAATACCTACAAGATCTTTATCAAGCATTCTTACAACTACAATACCCACCTGCTGAAGTGAAGAAACAGACTGACAGAGCCAGAAGAGTACCCAGAAGTCACCTACTACAGGACAGGCCCAACAAAGAAAATAACAGAATGCCACTAGCCATCACCTTCAGCCCCCAACTAAAACCTCTCCAACGCATCATCAAGGATCTACAACCTCTCTTGAAGGACGACCCATCACTCTCACAGATCTTGGGAGACAGGCCAGTCCTTGCTTACAGACAGCCCCCCAACCTGAAGCAAATACTCACCAGCAACCACACAACAGAACCACTAACCCAGGAACCTATCCTTGCAACAAAGCCCGTTGCCAACTGTGTCCACATATCTATTCAGGGGACACCATCATAGGGCCTAATCACATCAGCCACACTATCAGAGGCTCGTTCACCTGCACATCTACCAATGTGATATATGCCATCATGTGCCAGCAATGCCCCTCTGCCATGTACATTGGTCAAACTGGACAGTCTCTACGTAAAAGAATAAATGGACACAAATCAGACGTCAAGAATTATAACATTCAAAAACCAGTCAGAGAATACTTCAATCTCTCTGGTCACTTGATTAGAGACCTAAAAGTGACAATTCTTCAACAGAAAAACTTCAAAAACAGACTCCAACAAGAGACTGCTGAATTGGAATTAATTTGCAAACTGGATACAATTAACTTAGGCTTGAATAGAGACTGGGAGTGGATGGGTCATTACACAAAGTAAAACTATTTCCCCATGTTTATTCCCCCCCCTCCACCCTCCACTGTTCCTCAGACGTTCTTATCAACTGCTGGAAATGGCCCACCTTGATTATCACTACAAAAGGTCCCCGCCCCCCGCTCTTCTGCTAGTAATAGCTCACCTTAAGTGATCACTCTCTTGTTACAGTGTGTATGGTAACACCCAATGTTTCATGTTCTCTATGTATATAAATCTCCCCACTGTATTTTCCACAGAATGCATCCGATGAAGTGAGCTGTAGCTCACGAAAGCTTATGCTCAAATAAATTTGTTAGTCTCTAAGGTGCCACAAGTCCTCCTTTTCTTTTTGCGAATACAGACTAACACGGCTGCTACTCTGAAACCATTCTTTTCACGGGGATTTATTCTGGCATCCAAGCTGGATCTTTATATACTGTAGAGAGAAAGGGAAGTATTGCAAAGTACAGCCTTCTGGCTATAACGTCACAATGTGTCTCATCAGCCCCCACACTCATCACGAGTATCTGGGGAACATACCTGCAAGCCCCAGGAGGCAGAGAGTAATTTGATTTTGAATCCTTGTCTAGGAACCTGAATAACCCAGCTACAGACTGCTTTGGGACTCCCGCGTCTTTGGCAATAGCATGCACGTCCACAGCCAATACAGAACGTTTTAAATAGAGCTGGCTGGGAATTGTCCTCTGAAATGTTTTGTGTGTTGGAAAATGCAAATTCGTCCACACCAAAACGTTTCATGGTCAGCTTTTGCCAAATGTTTACAATATGAAAAAAGTTTTGGAAAAAAAAAATGAGTGGAAACGTTTCAACGTGCTATGCCTGAAATGGAAAATTCTGTTTTTCTGGCTTTAAACAATGTTTTCTTTCACAACGTAAGCTAATTAGAGTACCAAAAAGCCCCATTCAAAATCCAGACGATCAGAATTGAAATGAAATATTTTGAAATTATCAGAAAATAAAGATTTTAATGAACCTGAAGTGATTTTTTTTTCCAGATTTTTAGTTCATGATCATTTTCAGGATTTTATATTTTCTTCCTGATTTAGGATGGGAAGCATTTTCAGCAACTCAAAGGTGGTCAGAGGTCGGGAAAACCATTTCCAGCCCATGTCTAGTTTTAGAGGCGGGGGAGGAGAAGGTTTCCATCTTGATGATGGACCATTTAATCGGCAAGCCCATTGAAACAAACCAAACCCTCTGAGTAGAGGTACAACCACCTACTGGCCTGCCACAAATGACCAATGTGTTCTCAAAATGGTACCCAGGTATGCTCCACGAAGACAAGAGGAAGCCATTGCTGCCTAAGGGGTAGACAATTAATTGATTCTAAGGTCAGAAGGGACCACGCTGAACATCTAATCTGATGGGCTGCATAACATGGGCACATAGAACATTCCCAGAATAATTCCTGTTGAATTAGAACATATCTACAGTGAGGACAGTAGTCATGGGAAGAGGAGTTTGCTGCAGTCCAAGCGACAACTATCCATCAAATAAGAGGAGGGTTGGAGCAGCAGGGTGCATATCTCCACCAGTGGGAGGTGTTGTGGCTTCCTGAACACCCAGTTTATCTGGAGAATTGTCCTGGGCAGGGAGATGTTTAATAGTGGCATGTTCCATATGAAGTTCAGATCTGGATCTAAAACTCACAGCAAGCCCCGGCAGTATTTCTATGTTCTGGGCTGAGCCAAAGCCCCATCCCTGAACAGCAGGAAAGTTTGGATGAGGATCCGGAGCTGAGCTGTCAATCACAGACCTATTTTTCAGCACCACCTGGAAGCAGATGAGTTTCATGTGGTTGCGGGATCTGTGGTGATGATTTCACATGTCTCTGTCTAATAGGTCTTTTCCATCCCTAATGTCTGTGATTGGACTCTGCATATAAGTAATGTGCTAAGCATGTACTAGCAGTTAATAAAAATAGGTCTCTTAAAGCATTTTGCCTGCTGTTAAAGGTTCGACTGACTGGACAGGCCTGTACAGTGTGATCCCAACCTGGTATTTCTAAGAGAAATAGCATCTCTTTGCTAATAATAAAGGAGCTGCAATATAAAGTAAATGGTTAGAATGAGACTCTTCTAATAACCGTGATTCAGTGAAATGCACAAAAATATCCATGTGATTGTCGAGGCTGTACAGCTGACCCGGTCCCACTGATAGGGACCATAGCAACAGAGTTTCTCGTGGTGCAGCAGCATCCATGTAGAATCTCTATATGAAAATGAGCCTGGATTTGATTCAGGTAATGATACTCTCTACATACGGCCCACTCCTAACCTCGACCAGTCAATTATCACACAGTGTATTGGGTGTAAGGCAATTTGTCAGGAGGCCATTCCATGATCGATAGATAAGTAAAAGATGGTTAATGTAAATTGCATTTCCAAAATCCATTACACCAAGTGACAGGCAGCCAGGTCCTTGAGATTGCAATTGAAAGACTGCAGTGAGAGCAGGTAAAGTTTGGGCCATTTTCCACTTTTCTTAACGTTTTCTTCCTGAGAACACATTTAATGTGTCCTACTTACTCTTCTCATTACCATTGCCACTGAAAAGCATTGTGGGAATTTGCCCACTGTATTCTGCGCCCACATTATTACTGGTAGATGATCCCCAATTTTGAATGCTGTCATTATAATGTCACTGCCACCTGAGCTCTCAGTTTTTCTGGTGATCCTCGGAGGAGTGGCATAGCACGGGGCAGTTTTCTAGTTCTAGTACATAATTCCCAGTGATCCCAGTATTAAAGATATTTCCTGGAATTGTCTATCCATCCAGCTTTGGGTTTTATACTGGCACTCAGCACCACGGTGTCTCTAACTTTAGAAGAAGAGGGTTCAATGTACATTGACAACATGGTATTATTATTCCCATTTTACAGATGGACAACCGACATACAGAGAGACGAAGGGATTTGCAAGGTCACAGAGGAAACCTGTGGCAAAATCCAGAGCCTTAACCACAAAACCATCCTTTGCCCATGGGATTTTGATGGGATCCTAACCACAGAGCTGGGGAACAGCAACATCAGCATTAACAAAAAAGGAAATTCAGTAGCAAGTCGTAAACCCTGGTGGTGCACCAGCAATAACATTAGCATGATACAGCTTTACAAGGTAAAAATACTGTCCCATCAAGAGGATAAATGGCTGAGTCTTAAGCTTCATCTTGCCCACTCAGGGACTGGATGAGTGCCTTGCCGTAAAACGAAGCCACCATCCCATCCCTGCAGGGTTGGTTTTTTTTTTCCTGCCTGATGTAGTCATTCCTCTTAATAAATTCTTGTTGATTGCATGTTATATCTGGAGTATTCCTGGCTGGTTGATATGCTGCATGGTTTGTGGTGTACATCAAACAGGCAGAGGTGCTAAATAAACCAGTCCAGGACCGTCTTCTTCATTACCCCTGAAATTTTCACTGTCCTGACTTTGCTCTTTTTTTATCGGGTGTTACCACTGGAGATTAATAATGGGCTTGGGGGTCTTTTACCACTGGCTCCCCTATACATGTGCCATCTGATTGTTTGTGACAATGAGCTTTGCCATGGGATGACTCTTTGATGGCCTATATATTCGCAGCTTCCAGGCAGTCTCTAGGACCTGATCCAAAGTTCACTGAAGTCAGTGGGAGCTTTTCCTCTGTGGGGTCTAGAAGAGGATCCCAGCAAACATTACTGATGTTCACTGGCCCCCTGGTTGGCAGTGTGGGCAGCACGGCCATACACGGCTTGAGAATGAGGTCCATCTGGGGCAGCTTTGAGATACGCTGCTGAGACAGTGTCAGGAAACTTTCCCTGCCTGTGCGGTTCCTATTTGGGGGCTGCAGGGAGAAAGAGATGGAGTGCCACCAATTTACACCCACTGAGGATTTGCCTCACAGCCCCACTGGTCCTATAGCAGCTATTAAGTAAAACATTCAAACAAGATAAAATTAATGGGGCACTTTTTAAATCTCATTTGCACTGATGTAAATCCAGAGTCACTCCAGTGCAGGAAGGGACTGTACTGGTAGTGGAGGATCACCTCCAACTATCAGCTTTCCATCCCCATTCCCTACACTGAAGAGCAGGAAGCTGGGGGCACATAGGAGCCACTACACATCCCTATAGACTTTGTGGATTTCCCTACCCCACGGGTGTTAAGCATGAGTTGCTCCTGGACATACGGCAAGCAGGGAATGAAAGGCAGGAGTCCTGACTCACTCCACGCCTCTGACCATTGGACCACACTCCCTCCAATGAAACAAGCCTACTGTTAAGGGGCTTATTCCTTCACCCGCTTACTTCTCTGGTCCTTCTCGCATGAACAGAGAGCAACAATACGCAAAGTCCAAAGATGCAAACAATTCGATGTTTATTGGGGTGAACTTCCAGCACGCATGATTCCAGTTTCCTTCCTTAGTATCCTCCTTCCCAGCTCTGACACCACAGAGCCTTACACCTGTGTCCCTGTTCCTGTTCCCCCCCTTAGCAAAACATGATTCCAATTTCCTTACCCCCATTCCCTGTTCCCATCTCCCCCACCCACACGCCCACCCCCTCACTTCCTGATTGACTGCAGACTATGTAGTAAAACTTGAGTTCCGCTTAGCTATACTGTAACCAATCATTGTCCTGAAATTTAACTAACCAATCATAACATATTGTAACATGATTATGTAACCAATTATATCCCACCATCTGAATTAGTTTACACCCAGCAAAATTAATTATACAGCAGACAGGAACAATTACAGACCCAGACAGAGATTATACACACAAACAATAGCAAAGTGGGAACTACAATGACAAGACAATACAGAAGTGAGGATTTCACATCCCAGCTATTGATAAGTGAGTTCTTGCCAGACAGGATGCTATCAACTGAGTTTCCTTTTACATTTTCTAGGCACTTCCCTTTCTCCGGAGGTGATAGGCACTATCAGGACAGGATTGTATTCCTAACAGCCCAATAGCACCTTCTTTCAATGTGACTAGTTTGGAATGTGAGGATGTGACCGGTCACTTCCCAGCTTATGGCTGCCTCTGCTGCTTAGCCAAAGGCCTGAGCCTACGAACAGGGCCTCAGACTGTCACAGTAAGAGAAGGGCCTTACACCGGCAGACAGTGATTTTGATTCTTTCTTTTATACCTCTAGAACTAGCCAAGTGATAAGAATACATCTAAATTCTTAGAGTACAGGCCTTTACCGACAGGCCTGAATATCTATATCCTAGCACCTACCTTCAGTCCGGATGTTGTCGTTGCCCTCGGAGCTCTGGCTGTGGGAGAATAAAAGAGCCATCACCTTGTTTGTCAATTAAGAAAAGCAAATAAGAAGCGCATGCATTGCATCTAGCTCTACTCTTGCTGAATGTACTTTGGCTCAGGGGAAGCAGTTCCCACTTCAGTCCTCCCCCCTCCTCCGCCTCTTCCCACCCCATCCTATTTGAACCGCAGCAGCTGGCTAATAAGAAAAAGGCTTATTAGACTTTGTTTCTCCCATGTAACTCGTGTCTTGGAAATAATATTGAAGATTACAAGATGCCAACATGCTCTACAAATATTTGCATTTTATAATTGTTTCTCCAAAAAGGGGAGCAGGCAGGACCACGCTGGAGGGACTGTGACTTCCCACCCACCAGCCTGGGAGATGCGGTGGAATTTTAACAAACATCACTTCCACTCCCCCAGTAGCTAATTTAGTACTTTGCTTTCTCTTTGCGTCTCTCCCAGCACATTGCCTGCTTCCAAATAAATTGCTCAGAGCACACACCAGGAAATCACTGGAGGGAGGTGATTGCAAAGACGAGCAATGTAAATGGGAGGTGCACAGAAGGCAGGAGCAGAGAGGGCGAGTCTGCCCAGAGAAGGGGAAGAGTATATGAATCTTTTTGCTGATGGGCCTGAACCAAAACAATGGATCTGCCCCCACACTTGGGGAAATTCACTTTCTAAGCTGAACTTTGGATCCCACTGAGCTGCACTTGGGGTACAAGATGAGGGGATCCAATTCTGGAGCCAGCTGGGAGCCACAATATAGAGCAACCTCAAGGCTGCTGTAGCTGCAAGAGTCCCCTATAAATGTTATACCAGACAGGGAATACTGGATTGCAAGGTATTCTGGCCATGCCTGTGCAGTCCCCAGAGAGCCACCAACATGCTGCCTATGCCAGGTAGTAGCCAGGAGAAGTGGCTGGAGGAGAGGGAATCCCCAGGTGCCACCTTAGAACAACTTTATGGCTGCACTGCACTGTCTGAGCAGTGCAAGGTAGCAGGAAAGAGGGATGGGGAAAAGAGGATCTCACCTGTCCTGTAAACACCTGACCTGACCCATCACCATTAAAATACCATTGTAGGGCAAGTTTCAGGGTCTCAGACTTACCAATTATCAGTGGCTCCCAGAGCAAAATGGCTCTGCTTTGCAAGTTAAAAGCAGATGGTGTTTCTAACTAACTGTAAAGCTGAAAATCAAGCTGGGTGCTTGCTAGCTTAGCAGTTGAGACATGTGTTGAATTCTCTGCCCAACTCCCTGTGTGACTTTGAGCAAGTCACTTTGCCATCCTGTGCCTCAGTTTCCCCATATGTACAAAAATGGGGTTAACAGCACTGCCCTGCCTCACAGAGGTGTTGTGAGGATGAGTACGTTGAAGATTGTGAGGGGCTCAGGTATCACAGTAATGGGGGCCATATAAGTATCTGAGATAGATTTGATAATGAAACCTTGGCTGCACTGTATTGTTGGCGTGATAGAATCCAGCTCCCACCCTGAGCTGCGTTGGCTCTGCAGAGCTAATAGGACCATGAGAAGATTTGTCTCGGAGACACACAGGGAGCAGAGTCGTTAAGTGATCATTTGCCATTTTTAGACAGGGACTGGGAAGAGTCACATGACTGGGGAATCACATGATTCAGCTAGTGCTCAAGAGGCAGCAGATCTTAGCCAGAGGGGCCGCCGTCTGCTTGACAGGTTCTTCCACTGAGCAGAGGCATTGGCTGGAGGAACTTGCTAGAGGCTTCTCCATGGAGATGAAGCCTGAAAAGAGCCTGGCTAGAGAGGTCTAGGAGGAGATGGCCTGTGTAGGAAGTGGCCCAGGGAAGACTGAAGTAGGGTGGGGATTTTAGTGAAAGAGGCAGGTACCTCACAGCTTTGGGGTATCTGGGGTAGAGGGAGGCTCCTTCTCTTCTCAGCTGCCCCTGTTAGAGGAGGGTAAGCTGACACCCCTGTCAATAGTAGCCAAGGGCTACTGAGCTGCGGAGGGCTGGGAAAGGAGGCATGAGGTCAGAAAGGGAGAAGAAAGGCTGTTGTTTAGTGGGCTGTTTGCCATAAGGGAGGACTCTTACTGTTGTTTGGCCCAAGGGCTAACCCTCAAGTCGACCAAATGCCCATGGAACCGTGGGGAAACTGAGGCAGCGGATGTCTTTCCATGATAGGGAGAGGTGAGCTGCTGTTTCAGGGTCTCTGGGCGCTATTGCACTACAAGATTCCCTGATCTCCAGCCCTGAGTTCAGTTCACCACAGTTCACAGCTGCCCTCCGTGAATGGGAGCTCGGAACTTTCATTTTAGACCACCCTGGCTCAAGCCACCAAATTTGGGTCTGGATGCTGCTGATTGCATCCTACACCCTCTCTGCATTCATGATGACTCCAGGTGCAGGGCAGTGGAGAATGGAGCCATGAGGCACAAAAGGTGAATACCCAACACTCCTCCAGCTTCTATTTGGATCCCTCATGCTGGCCTTCCAAATGTTTTTTTTTTAAAGGTATCTTGGTGTATTTCAGAATTTCCCCCCGTGTTGCAGAATCTACTTTCCGTGGGTGCTGGGATCCCGTACACTGAACACAGACAAATATAGGCTAAACGATATGAGAAATGTCACATGGCTAGTAGGGAGATCCAATCAGGATCCCTCTGAAGAATATAAAAAGAGGCCACTGCACAAAGATAAAGAATAGTAGTTGTGGAGGAGGGTGGTAATGGGGAATCTGTATTGGTTAGAAGAGAGCTGATGAGTAAGAAGCATCCAGAAGTGGCAAAGGTAGCCAGAGCTGGGCAGTCAGGTACAGCAGTTGCCATCTTGGACTGTCTGTGGGAAGAGTTTAGATTGTAGAGCATTCCTTGGCTCTTGATTTCAGCTTTAAGTAGGAAGCTAGGCCAAAATAGAGCCTGGATCCCTAGGTGGGAGATTCTGAGGCAGGGATAGAAAAATTCTTGTCTATACAACTTCATGGCCCTGCAGACAGAACATCTAAGAAAGCTAATCAACCTACAGCCTTATGCTAAAAACCTAGATGCTCTCTTGGGAGTTTATGGTTCTCCATATATAGGGCATTTCTGCACAGTGCTCATACATTCTGGGTAACAGGTTGCAGCCCAAGGCT